CTCAGGGAAGAAGGGGATTGTTCCGGATCTTGGCAGAACCTCGCACACATGTGTCTGCTCTCAGCAGCAGGCTGCCAGTGGGTGGGGGTGAAGAGGCCGGGCCCTTGGGCAGGAGGTCTCTTCTTCCACCGAAAGCCATTGTCTGCGTGTGAATGTGCTTTCATCAGCTGCAAACTGTATTTATGGCTTCTCGGAATTTTCCGAATGAAGTAACTTTTTTCCCCAGACCATTTTCTTCACAACTGAAATCGGATCCCACAGTCCATGGAGACAAACAAAACAGCATGACATCACCCGCCTGGGAGTTGTCATTTCAGACACCACCGCAGCCTTTTGTTCCAGATCAAATGGATGTGATTTGCCCTCTGGAGGTGGCACCTTGCCCGGGCAGAGGAGGGGATGGTTCTTTGAGCTCCGTCTTGAGAATCCGGGAGGCCAGGAGGGTGGCAGGTGCCTGGGCTGCCTGCGGGGCCGGGCTGGGCAGGAGGGGGCAGGCGGCGGCAGGTCCTTCTGCTTCCTCTCTGACTACAGAGTGGAGATGATGCTCCGTGACACAAGTCGTGACGGTGACAGCCCCACCCATTAGGGACGCTGACGTCTGTGTCCCTCCTCTCTTGGCCTCTGAGGCTCAGGCGCACAGAACACTGACCTGGAGGTTAGACAGCCTGAATTCAGCTTCGGTCTTGGGTTGCAAAGCTTACAAGCCTGCTTCCTTCCCTGTACAGGTGGGGAAGGTAAAAAATCCCAGTCATGCAAAGCTGTGCCAGGACCAGATCAGATCCTAAATACAGGGACCTAGAGAGCAAAGGCTTGCTTCCCCTCTTCCCCTCAGCTCTCAACACTCACAGGAAAGGGCTTAGTAGTTCCTCAAAAGGCCTTGGCTTCCCGCAGGGAAGGTTCAGGAAGACTGGCAGGGACTGTGTTCAGTGTGCTCTTGAGCTAATAATTAAGGTATTATTTAATGAAAGCTCAAAGAAGAGCTGAAGCCATCTGGAAACCCAATCCGCCAGTGCCTGTGGGCCTGACCAATTACATGAGAACAGAAGTCGGCCTGTCTTTCAGCAAATAAATGCTCTCTAATGCAGTGCGGGCCAGAGTTTTAGGTTCCTAAAGAGGAAGTAATCATATAATTATACTAATTATTGAGAGTTACTGCGCACCAAGTTCCGCATTGAGCATCTTAGACACGCTGTCTCATTTGATCCTCTGGTTAGTGTAACTATTCTCATTTAGCAGATAATGAACCTGCAGCTAGGGGAGGCGGAGGTAACCTGCCCAAGGCCACTCCATCATCATGCAGGCTCCGCATGCAAACCCAGGTCTGTCTCACTCCAAGGCCCACATGTTTAATAACTACCACATTTTTCTGCCTCCCAGTCACAAGAGGGGGTCTGTGAAAAGGAGTGCCTTGTTTATCTTCTTATGAATCTGGAAATGGTGAGGTAGGGAGACGAGTGTGTGTGTCCCTTGGGGTGCTGGAGGTGGGGTATCTCATCCTTTCATAACTATTCTTGTAATTCAAAAGCACTATGTCAACCCTCTGTTGTAACTTACTTTATCCAAAGTAAATGACCCAAAAAGAATCACATATATGTACACATTTTAAAAGGCTGGTTTTGAAATAAGTTGACTGTCTATATTTATTCCATACTGGGAATGCTATTTGAGCAGTGGGAAACCAATGAACCTAAGTTAAGCGGCTGGCTGAGTAATCAGGATCCCATCAAAGACAATAAAGAATTTCAGTCAGCAGGAGAAAGGGGAGTTAGAATAATTCCTAATAAGAATGAGCCTGGTTTCATAGAGTTGGTTTAATAGAAACTGTATTCTGAGCAGGTACAGGTGTTTAGTCTGGAAAAGGGCACTGTAATCCTGGAGGGTGGGGAACTCCAGGACCCTTCTAGGTATAGCATTTTCTGAGCTGGAGCATGGAACAAGGTAACTGCTTACCTTTGAAGTCTCTTCCAAGGGCAGCTCAAGGCTAGGGCAGGGCAAGGCTAGGGCAGGGCCTTGAAAAGGTCCCGAGTTTGTCAAAGAGGGAATAAGACAGGACAGAGTTCCTTTACACTGGGGACTGGGTTGGCACTTTCCAGAAAGAAGATTCCAGAATGGTGACTGGACAATGGCTGCAGGTTTGTTGATTGAGGACATAGTGCTTTCCCATTTCTCGAGACCAACACATACTTTCTGAAGATCATCATCAGAAAAGTGGGTTTCTGAACTCAGCCATTAAAACATTTTTGTGATTAGGCAAAATGATGTCCCTATAGCCCTGGGATCTTATAGTGTCAGCATAATCGTGGACAACAAAATCATGAAAGAACACCTACGTGCTTCCTAAACAGAAAAAAAATTCAACCAGAAAGAAAATACAAGCTTCCATCATTCTCATTTACTCTGTTAGCTCTAAGAGCAGTTCTATTATAGGAATACCTTTCAAAAGAATTTAGTAAACATGACTACCAACATCTGAATCTTTTCTCACGAAACTCAGTCGAAACCATCCTCTTGAGTCTTACAGGGTGTGCATTTGGCATTGTAAAACTTTATAATTGGTTAAAAAGGATACACCTCCCTGTTCAATATAAACCTGAGATTGACCAGCTCAGGGGCTGTGACTCTGGGTATTTCCCTTCTCCCATCACTGGAGAGGTCTGGGTTTTCCGAATGGTTAAGAGGCTCCTATATTGAGGAGGGACTGCCAGAGTTAATGAGGTGATGCCTGGAAAGGTTCTATGGGCTCTTATAAAACCATTGCTATCAAAAACCATAAACAGGGTTTGTAATTAATAAAGCAGTTATTAAAACTTCCTCAGCAAATCAGAAATTGTGTGATAGTATGTAAATTAGCTGAGCACGAAAACACACAATTTAGTCTGCCAAGATAAGAGGTTAACATACACTGAAAAGTCCTTGTAAAGTTCCAGGTACTTTCAGATGTAGCGTCTCACTTAATAGGAGAAGCAATTGGATGGCGAAATGGTTAAGCACAAAAATCACTGGAGTGAGTTAGACATGATCTGGCTTGAAAAATGACTCTACTCCATGATTTTAGGAAACACACTTAACTTTCTAAGCCTCATTTTGTTTATGGGGATAATAACGGTATCAACCCTTCCAGGGTATGGTACAACACAGCACTGAAATAAAATAGCTATTATTTTTATTAATTATGATAAGTCTATGAGGTTGCTATTATTTGTCTGAAACGTGAAAACAGAGGTTCAGAAAGCTTATTTGACCAAGCTGAGTTCTGACTAAGTAAAGCTGGGATCTGTTAGCTCCAAGTCCACATGTTTTCCAGTATAATTACAGCCTCCGCTATTTGATCCAAAATCGGAGCTTATCTAAAATAACCACTAAGTGTGAATTGTTCACTAAAGTCAAATAAAGAACTGATACCTAATTAAATATGCCTCCCTTCCCCTCAAATCAGGGGATCTACAAAAAGAAAGGAGAATCACGAAAGCCTAAGTTATAGAGTAAGAATGCAAAAGCACTTTTGGGGCTAGGGAGACATGTGGGGATCCCAACATTTTATTGTTTCCTAAACTTGAATCACAATCTAAAAGAACAGACTGTGCTGGTGGAATTGGACTAACTAGGACTATCCAAAGTAAGTTACAGCTTTTTGCCAGCTTTCTGTGCCAGTGGCCTAGAAACTATTTCAAAACCTATTTTTATTTCTTAGGGGCTGAAATTTCAGGGAAACACAGTCCAGACAACTCTGACCCAGAGTCTTCATATTTAGAAATTAATCCCCAAAGAAGGGGAATAACTTTTACCATGGCAGAGAATAAACCTTCTCATAGCCCAATTACAGAAAGAAATAACTAACTCTGCAATGCACACTTCTAAATATTTGCAATTTATGATATGGAGATGTGGGAGAATTAAGCTGGCAATTATTCTTAAACCCCCAAGAAAGGAATCTGGCCTTGGGACACATACAAACACACAAGCATTTTGTAGAGCTGACATTGCACATCATAAAATTTTAAATGCATATAAAGCAATACTGTGAAAAAGAGAGAACAATGGAAATTTGCTGAGATGCTTGTATTTGTAAAATAATATATGCACACATTAATTTGTAATGATTTCAGCAAATAAATTATCTATTTTTTTAATTTCAGGAAATTTACTATTATGCATTTCAAGTTGAAATATCTCTAGGTCAGAACTTATTTTTAAATTTATCTTTACACTAATTCAGACATTAAAAAAAAAACCCAGGTTAAAAACAACAAAATAATAATAAATCTTAATGGAAAAAAAAAGGAGAAGAGTCCATTGGACACCCCCAAATGAGAAACAATGACAGGTTTATCCTGAGTGTGGGTCATTTTATCTTCACACATATCTTATTGCCTTACAGACATGCTTCTAAAGATGTGGGAAACACGAAAACGTAAGGAAGAGCTCAATTAATAATTGCAAGACATCTCTGGCACACTGGAGAACCAGGCAGTGAATAAGGTTTTGTTAAACATCATCAAGCAAGGCATTTTATAACCCCAGGGCTTAAGTTTACAAATGTTCCTGCAACCACTGGTCTCCTAACTTGAATCAAAAGTATGCAGCAGACGATGAGCTTCAAGAAATAATTATTCTTTAATAAGAAAAGAAGTACTGTGACTAGCTAATAAAAAAATGCGTTAACATCATGTCTGCTATGGAAACCCTGGAGCCTTCTGCTTAGCATCCTCAAAGCATTTCCATGGTGTAAGGTGCTTTAGAGAGAAAGTACATTATTTGGCATGAATTTTGTTATGAGAAATGGAAAGATTTCTCTAGAGAAATCGTTTATCAAACTAAGATTGCCAGGTATGGTAATCACAGCACTTTGGGAGGCTGAGGCAGGAGGATCACTTGAGGCCAGGCGTTTGAGATGAAACTGAGCAACATAGTAAGAACCCATCTCTACAAAAAATTTATATAATTAGCTGGGCATGGTGGTATGTGCCTGTAGTCCTAGGTATTCGGGAGGCTAAGGTGGGAGGATTGCTTGAGCCCAGGAGTTGGAGGCTGCAGTGAGCTATGATCATCCCACTGCATTCCAGCCTGGGCGGCAGAAAAAGATGGTAGATCATTAATACATCCTTGGTTTGTGATGCTATTCCAACTTAAAAAGGTCAGTCAGTATTTTGCTTAGCTATTACAGAGAACATAATGGCAAGAAAGTCAATCTTTGTGCATCTAGCACCAGACACTTGTATTTTTATATAACATTTAGAATAGCACATTGGGGTGAGGGGCAACAACGGTGTGTGAGTCAGGGCAGCATGGAAGAAGTAAGAGCAATGGACTATGTCTGGATTCAAATAACAGTCCTGCTCCTTGCCTGATGGCAGGGCCACAGTCACCCGGTCCCTCTTGGACTCCCCATCCCCCCACCCAGATGACTTCTAATTCTTCCCTTCTCTAAAATTTTATGATTACAGTAACTTGTTAATGTTCATTTTTCAGCCTTCATTCAAATGATTCATCAGGATGCTAGAACAACCTAGGACATATGATTTCCAGTTTAGAATAATATCTGCTTATTCAGCTGAACTTAAATCCTTTTTGGGAACAAAGAAAGACACATAAATAAGGTAAACTTGACATTTTCATGTATGCCAGAAACCATAATTACATTCTGAATAGGAGGCAACAAAGTATTGTTTGCTATTCCAGAAGGTCAATACATTTTCTGTTATGTTCCAGAAATCAACAGGTAGCTTTGTGGTAGTCCTGTCAATTCATACTAATAACTGTCTAACTATACATCCCCCATCATAATCTAAAAACAACCTAAAGGGGCCTCAATAATACAGGATAGCATAAGTGAAAAGTGAACATTTAGAACAGGAAAATAAAACTACAGATGAAAATAAAACTACAGAATGAAGTTCTAATAAACCATCGTAATGACCTATATTACAATTGCTTCTGGTGGAACCCAAGTTTGGCATTAAACTTTTTGGCATCCAATGAGAAAGAGGAATTCTACCCAATTAATTATACAGTTTCTAGAGAAAATAAAATGAAAGCAAAGTAACTGCTCAGCAGAAATGTAGTAGTTTGTGCTAGTAAGAAGCAAAAGTTCCTCCTCAGGAGTCTTCATAAACAATTGTGCCAACAGCATCCTCTGTAACTTTCCTCAGAATAGATGCAATGGATGGGTCCATGGGGTAGGAAACAATTTTCACTTCAAGATGATGGCGTCACAGAGTAATGGTGAGAAGAGACTTCAGTCCCATACTGCCTGAGTTCAAACCCCAGCTCTGCCACTTATTAGCTGTGTGACCCTGGGCATGTTATTCAAATGCTGTGTGGGGGGGGCAATAATAGCATTTGCAAACATTGAGTTAATAAGCACTGTATAGTGTTACCACTTATTAATGAAGACCTCAGTAAGAACAATCGGGGTGTGCACTGCCATAACACAGTTCAAGTACCTAGCTCTACACTGACCTGACTAGAACCCAAAGTAGATTCTAGAACAGTGTGGTCCACTGTTCTAAAAAACCATAAAGGTTCTAGATCTGCACTGCCCAATACAATAGGTACTTGTGGCTACTGAGCACTAGAAATGTGGCTAATGCAATAAAGAATGGAATTTCTAATTTAAATTAATTTAAATAGCCACAGGTGGCAAGCGGCTACTGCACTAGGCAGCACGGATACGGAAAATTTTCATCGCTGCAGAGTTTGATTGGACAGTGCTGCTCTAAAACATCCTCCAAGCAATACTCTAAATATTGCTATCAGCTAAGTTTTTAATGAATACTGGGTAATGAGGAATTCCAGACTCTAGTCCTTGACACCTACCTGGTTTGTGGACAAACCTCTGTTGCCAGATGAATGTAGACCCCTTACGCCTTGGGCTGTGGGGCAGTCTGGTTGTGCTGTGAAAAGTCCAAGGATGAACAACTGAACACAATGCCAACCTATGTGTAGCCATGGCAAGGCCAGGATCCTACCTAAAAAATGGTTTTGAATTCACTTTGGAGCACAAAGGAATGAGCTTGATCACAACGTTCTACTTCATTTAGCACAGTCCGAATTGTTTCGGCCTGAACAATTTTAAAGGGTGGTTTAACCAGATGCTTGTTTCATTTTCCCCCAATGTTCTATTAACTTTGGGAAAAGCTACTGGTGTTCCCTCCAAGCTAAATTATTTGGAAAAGGCACATCAAGATGACTAAATAAGATAAGCTGTAGTATATGTCCCAAATGAAAGGGAGTAACAATTGCTGAAATGAATAAAATGATTTCACAAAAATCATGTAATAAAAATGCAAAATAAAGGGAAAACAATTTATAATGTGTATTTCAATTTGTAAATGCTCAGGCACAACTACATTAGAAGAAACAATAAAGTCATCAATACCTATAAATAGAATTATCTTGGTGACTTAATTATCGTCAGTAGCACTGTTGTCAGTAACAGGATTTTTTGACACAGGTACAATTCTTGATCAAGTTTTGAACAAAATATAGTAGAATCTTCTCTTAATTATATGGTGGTTGTGTTCTTAAAAAATTCATGATACATTAAAAATATACCAAAAGATACCTTGTTTTAAAATGGAACTTGGTTTTAGGCTTAGATAACTAGTTTTTTAGTTTTTTTTTTTTTAAGCACATGAATATCCAGCAGAACATTCAAGAATCACGTGGGAAGCTGGGTGCGGTAGCTCACGCCTGTAATCCTAGCACTCTGGGAGGCTTATGTGGCAGGATTGCTCGAGCCCAAGAGTTTGAGACCAGCCTGAGCAAGAATGAGACCCTACAAAAAATTGAAAAATTAGCTGGGTATGGTGGTGCATGCCTGTAGTCCCAGCTACTTGGGAGGCTGAGGAAGGAGGATCACTTGAGCCCAGGAGTTTGAGGTTGCAGTGAGCTATGACACCACTGCACTCTAGTGCAGCTGACAAAGTGAGACCCTGTCTCAAAAAAAAAAGAGAATCATGTGGGATATAGAGCAATTCTTTGTAGGGCTAAATTGTCCCATGTGCTGTGGGACATAAAATATCTATAGCCCCTGCCCACTAATTGCCAGCAGTCATTTCTAAAACCATTAGTCCAAGCCCAACATATGAATTCTACCACCTCCACCCTCTCCAATGACTGGTTCATCAATCCAGGTCTAAGTCAACCAGTGTATGGCATTAGTTGATTTCAGAACACGGTACCTGATGAATGTTAGCCAATAAAACAGCAGAATTTTGCTGGGGGCTTTGCAGCAAAGTTTCCCACGAGGGAGTCACAGAAAAGAGGTCTCTTCTTTACATGTTATAAATGGATGTGATGCCTGAAAATTCTGTATTTATCACAGAACCAGCTGGAGGATGCAGCCAATAAACAGGAGGGCGGAGCCAAAAGCACAGGGGAACTGAGCTAAAGAGTTTGGATTATCTTGCCTGTGGGGGTCCATCCTACCTCTTTATGTAAATGGACTTTATGTAACTGGACTTCCAGTTACATAAAACAGTAAATTTCCTATCAGTTAAACTGTTTTGAATTTGATTTTGGTTCTTGCAGCTGAAAGCACTTTGATAACAACATACACAAACTATTTCACAAGTCAAAGACTGGGGCCTGGTGTTAAAAAACACTGAAAACAAAACAAGTGAATATTGTTCCCAGACATCTATACCAAGGGGTAAACCTGCGCAGGTGACGCTGGTCGAAAGCCTGCATGCTCCTTAGGTAAAGCCCTATGCAGTTCACCTGTCAAGTGGCAGGCACACTGGGGGAGAAAGACCAGCACAGTTCTCACATGCAGCTTGTTGGGGAGAACACATGAAAGGCAAAAAGCTATTTATTCTGAAAAAATATAGCTACAGGAAAAAGAGTAACATCATTAGTATTTGTGTACAAAGAGCTCTACAGATGCTCTGTGGATAGACAGGGTTGTAAAAATAGATTAAGTCCCTGCTCTCATGAACCTTACAATTAAAGAAACAAATTTTTAAAATACCATGTTTACAGAAAAACAGACCAAGAATTGCAAAGCAACTGTAATAAAACTGAGTATGGTAAGTGGTGGGAAATGAAGGGTAGAGAAAGGGGCAGTGAGGTGTAGTTAATTATGAAAGGTGTTCTGAACACGCCAGGGTTGAAGTTTGAATGTTAAAGGTTATAACACTAGGAAGACATATAAAAATGGTGCATTATAAAAGGAGGAAAAGATAAGTATATAGGAACAAGAGTGGAGAATTTAGAGATGTCCTGCTGACGTGGCATCAGGTGAGGTTCTGGATAAATATGGTTCCGTTGTCAGATTCATCACAGACAGTGTGGCAGGAGGAAAAAGCAAGCTTACAATTGAGGATAGAGCCTCAATCTGGAACCTACCACGTCCTAGCTGTTTGACCTTCAATAAACTACTTAACCTTCTCTATGTCAATTTTCGTATCTTATAAAATGGGCACATGTAGTGCCCAAGGGGGCATAAGGATAAAATGAGATGGTGCATGCTAAGTGGCCTGCATAATTTTGGGAGGTGCTTGATCACGGTAGTTATTATCACTCTTAAATCCACAAGCAATTCACTCAAGTTAGTTTCAGAGCATTTATAAGGCAAGCATATATAAAACTCAATATACTTATTATATCAGGTTTGAAAAAAAGCTTTGTTTTTAAACAGTTAATTGCAATCCATTACAAAATCCCCAAATTAAAAGAAAAACTATGATACACTAAAAAAAATGAATTAAGATTAGGGGACTTATAAATACATTTATTGTTGGTATTAATGAATAATGAATGCAGAGAACAGAATACAAAAAAATCAGCACTTAAAAGGAAATATTAATCTTTAAAAATGAAATATATTTATATACATATATTGACCCATTTTGCATCTGCTTAGATTTACAAACAAATGTAAAGCAATTCCAAAGCTTTCATTCTGAATATACTTCAATTTGAGTTCTAGTGTTCTCTATTCTAAAGCAAACTATTTTTCTGCTGTATTTACACAAAGTATGATTTATTTTGTTTGTATCTAACTTAAAAGCAAGACTCTGCAAGCTGATTCTGAAGCAGCTAGTTATTCAGGAATTTTATAACAGCTCTTTAAGAGAAGATAAAACCACATGAAAGAAAAAGCTTCAATACTAGATATATAAATACAAATGAGAAAATATCAAGAAGCAAAAAGAATCACAGAAATACCAATTCTATTCTAAACTATAATTTGTAATTCTAGCAAGAATTCAATTAGCAGTAGCTTAGATGCTTTTGTTCTAAAAAATAAAACCATTAGTTCTTTCTGTATAATTTTCTGACTTTATGCAATGAATAATTATCAAGTCTTCATATTCTTTTTTAATAACCCAAGAATATGATTTATATACTACAAAATCATTAACAAAAGAGCCTTTCAAACATACTGCTGAAAGCTGCAATACAGTTTGGGAGCCAGATTTCAATTTACATAATATTACCATTCATAAAGAGTTTATGATACCCAGTACTATATTGTTCAGCTCTGTTAACTCAGAAATACTCCATCCGTTCTTGCCTTCAGAGAATTACTGATATGGATGGGATTAAGAAAAGTCTAAGAGGGCCTCTAAACAGGATTGCACATGAAATAATCATGAACTATGATACAACTGTGACAACACAGCTAGCTTATAGAACTGAATTTTTCACTGTAATAGCACTACACACTTGTGACAATTAAATATCAGAATCATTTTTCTCTGTTCAGTAGAAAAAAGTGTTTTCTGAGTATAATTTTAATGAACATGATACCTTTAAAATAAACAATAGGGGAAATTGGAAAATCCTTAATTTTATTTTTCAGATATTAACAAGCAATGTAGTTTACAAAAAAAATTATTCTAAAAACAAATAAATATAAGATTTAAAGTGATCATTTCTGAAGAAAACAGCTCATTTTCAAAAATTTTGTTTGGTTTGTGACTAGACTCTAAAATATTAAAATAAACCAAACAGATTCTAACAATACTAACTTGCTATACAAGATTTGAAAAATGTACTTCAAGTTTTAAACTTTCCCCTATCCCTACAGAAAGTAAATAAAAATGGGGGCTCTTGCAAAAATAAACAAAAACAAAAATCACCAACAAAACTAATCATGTAAGAAATACTTTCGCTTTTTCAATACTTCAACTGGTCCTATATCAGAGTATGGTTTCGACAGCAAAGACTTCATAGCCTCTTCCTTTATCTACCATTTTCTAGTCATTTCTATGTTTTTGTCAACAAGGTTATGTAAAAGTTTTCCTAAGAAGTCAGGTTGAATCAGAGGTAGCATTCGGATGCAGTTCACTTGATTATAGGGTGTAGTTAGTTGAAATGAACACGTCATTATCTAAAAGGATTATGATAAGTAAAAATGCAAAGAGAAAAATGCACAGCCCTCACTGGCTTGTACTAAGAAGAATTTTGGGAAACGGAGAACAAACACAAAACCAGGAAAGAGGCAATTGCCTCGTCTCCCATGAGCTGCTCTAATGCACCAATTCAGGCTGGTTTTCCACAAAGGGCAGCACCCCACTCACATAGTAGGCAATGCCAAGAGACATCAAAGCAATGACGAAGATCAAGAGCAAGACCCTCCAGAAGCCCAGATCCTCTACAAACTCCTGCCACGTGGTTCGAAAGCTGGAAAGGACTCCTTCACCTTGCTGTAGGTTGGGATTGAGAAGAGAATGGCTTTCCATGGCACTGTGAAAGAAGGAAAAAGAAAAGAAAGGGGCATGAAACAAACACTTCACCCATTTCAAAAACATAAAACGATGAGGACTATATTAATTGGAAAGGACCAAACTGATAACACAGCACTTACAAGAAGACAACTGACACATACGTACACTCTCACATGGTTACATACTGACTTACATATCTGCAGGTATCGGGACAATCTACCTTAAGCTGGAAATTGCTAAACCATAATGAGTATGTTTCTTGGCTGAATACTACTAGCACAGTCAAGTTAAAAACCCTATTAATGGCCAGGCCCAGAGGCTCACACCTATAATCCTAGCACTTTGAGAGGCCAAAGTGGGAGAATTACTTGAAGCCAGTAGTTTGATACCAGTCTGGGCAACACAGCAAAAACCCATCTCTACAAAGAAAATTTAAAAATTAGCTGGGTGTGGTGGTATGTGCCTGTAGTCTCAGCTACTCGGGAGGCTGAGGCAAGAGGATCACTTGAGTTCAGGAGTTGGAGGTTACAGTGAGCTATGATTGTGCCACTGTACTCCAGCCTGGGTGACAGAGTGCGACTCCTAAAAAAAAAATCCTATTAAAGAAGTACCAAATAGAAGTCTTGAAACAGGCCAAATGACTTGTTTTCATCAAGATAGTAAACCAAAACACAATTTTGTCTATTTTAAACTTAGGAAGAAGATTCAAAGTGAAGATTTGTAATTTAAGAATTTATGTCAATGGGCCAGGCACACTGACTCATGCCTATAACCCTAGCACTCTGGGAGGCCAAGGCAGGATGGCTGCTTGAGCCCAGGAGTTCAAGACCAGCCTGTGCAAGGGTGAGACCCCGTCTCTACTAAAAATAGAAAAAATTAACTGGGTGTGGTAGCACATGCTTGTAGTTCCAGCTACTAAAGAGGCTGAGGCTGGAGGATCACTTGAGCTCAGGAGTTGGAGGTTGCAGTGAGCTATGATGATACCACTGCACTGTAGCTGGGGTGACAGAGTAAGACTCTGTCTCAAAAAAAAAAAAAAAAAAAAAAGAATTTATGTCAATGAAAATAAGCAGACATGAAGGTGAAGACATCTGAAGAGAACAGCCATCTACAAGTCAAGGAGAGAGGCCTCAGAAGAAACCAACTCTGCAGACATCTTGATTTCAGACTTCTAGCCTCTAGAATTGCGAGAAAATAAATTTCTGTCAAGGAGAAAGACAGAAAGGCCCAGCAACAGGGTGTCATGGAGACTAAAATCACAATGGCCACAATCACATGCATCAACTATTTGTTGGTTATATAATAGAAGGTCATGACCACCCTTCCTATACCCATTCCCTTCAGGGTTCTTCCAAGCATCTTTGCTCAGAACCATGAAAACAACATAAAACAATGTCTTAGTCTCATGTACCATGAATAAGTAAGCACATGCAAAACTGGCAGTTTTTTTACCTACAACTTTACTTCTTCACACCATTAACACAAAGTCCTTCAGCCTTTACTAGTATTAGAGGTCTTCTCTAATCATAGGATGCTGACTTCCTAATGAGCCAGTTTGTCTGACATCCAAACTTTTTTTTTTAATATTAAAAGATATTTAGTCTCTAAAAGACAATGTTTTTCAACCAGTTTTCATTGTCAAAAAAAAAAAAATAAATAAAAGACAATGTTTTCAGTGAGAATCTACAACATCGAAATTTAAGAAAACTTGAGCAAATTTAAAAATAAGACTAGAACTTTAAGAAGGCCTAACCAAGTAAAACCATAATAGATAAACAATCTCAGGAGAGGCTTAGTTTGACCTATATATTAATAAAATTTATTGACTATGTCTGAGTGACACACTCTCATACTCGGAGATGTTAGGTATAAAATGAGATTTTGGGAAGCATTCTCTAGGAACGCATGAAGCTCTGCCAATCAGAATTTTCTACAGAAACTTTATCTAATGAAATGCTTTCTACTGTCCCAGGAATAACTCCCTCCAACATAATGAGTGTGTGTATAATCTTTTAAAAAACATGTGTCATCTGTACTGTTTTTGTCATCCCATACCTACAAAGTAAAAAGGAACTAAATTAAACTTAGGATAATATGGAGGAGTGGGGAAATATTTTTCATCAACTTAAAAGACCCACAGAAGTTGTATATCTCTCAGGGAATTCTAAGAGAAATGGAAAATATAGTAGTAAATACATTTAAAACCTTACTTTATTATATTCTACTCTAGAAAAAGCTATTACACAGCTATCCCATAATGCCATGCACTAGCCAATCTCTAAACTTTTTCCTCTACTTTAAAAAAATTGAGATATAATTCACATACTATAAAATTCACTTTTTAAACTGTATAATTCAGTGGTTTTTAGTATATTCAAAGTTGCACAGCCATTTCCACTAATTCTATAATAGTATACTTCTATCACCTCTATAAGAAACTCTGTACTCATTAGCCGTCATTCCCCACTGCCCCTTCTCTCAGCTTCTAGTAACCAGTAATCTATTATTTGTCTTTAAGGATTTGTCTATTCCAGATATTTCACATGAATAGAATCATATAACATGTGGCCTTTTGTGCCTGGCTTCTCCCATGTACCATGTTTTCAAAATGTACCCACGTTGTAGCATGTATCAGTACTTCATTCCTTTTTATGGCAAAATAACATTCCATTGGATGAACTAAAGACATTTTGGTTATTCATTCATCAGTTGATGTATATTTGAGTTGTTTCCACATTTTGGCTATTGTGAATAATGCTGCTATGAACATTTGTGTACAAGTTTTTGTGTGAACATATGGCTTCAATTTTCTTTGGTATATACACCTAGAAGTGGAATTGCTAGCCAGGTGGTAATTCTATGTATGACTTTTTGAATAATGGCCAGACTTTTCCAAAGCAGCTGTACTATTTTCCATTCATATCAGCAATGTAGTGAGGGTTCCGATTTTTCCACATCCTCGATAACACTTGTTATTGTCTGTCCTTTTCATTATAGCCATCCTAGTGGGTGTGAAGTGGTATTTCACTGTGGTTCTGATTTGCATTTTCCTAATGATGTTGCCTTTAAATTTTTAAACTTAAGCTTCAACCACTGCATTTGTACCATGACACTGAAGGCTAGGAATAAGATAGATATAAAAGTATTAATAATTTAATTTTTGACAAACTGGTTTTATACACTATAATACAAACTCTCATGCTAAAGTGAAATGGCAGGCATGTGAAAGAAGTAGGAGTATTTCATACTGAGTTGTTCAAATGACTAATCATTGCTCAATTAATAAGTAATCACAACTGAGACAAACTAATGCTAAAAGTATATTTCTGATAAAGAAGTGCCAAGAAACTGGCTATTAACAAATGAAGGTCCCCAAAATAGACCATGTTTTGGAGGAACATGATCTTTAACAAATAATAGTTGCCTCAATATTATTAAAGTGCTATAGCATTATGACAGTCAATCCAGAGTACACAAGAGAGAGAAAAAGGGCTTGCAAATGCATCTTTGGCTTCTTGTGTATTTTATCTATTTGTCAGCTTTTGGCGATAACTCAAAAGGAGCATACACTGTTCTAGAAATAAAACTCTTTGATTTCTTTAGGACAGTAATAAGTGCTTGAAAGTATCTAAACAAAATAAACCTAAGCTTGAGAGTAGAACTGATGGTCCCCAAGACATACAACCACCAGCACACAAAGGAAGAGGAAAGCAATGGGTACTGAGGAATCAGAGGAAGGGTGAGCTATGAAATCTAGAGGGGATTTCATTTAGAACTCACAGAACCAATAATCCCAACAATGATCCTGATGGGATAAGTGGTCTATGTGAGCCTAAATCCAAGTCCTGGTCAATCAGCTTCTAGGTCAACAGCTAATGCTAATGTAGGCCCTTGTTTGTTCTATTTATATTCTATTGAAAATTTTGGAAAGAAACTACAGTAAGCTCATCCTTATCTCACTGGTTTAATCTGTAAGGCTGAAACTCCATGATGGTTGACCAAGCTTTATGCTACAACAACGAGATCTGGCCTACTGACTACCTGTTGGGCCAGTGAGACCAAGAGAATAGATGGGTTGCCACCTTTTCAGAGCTCCCTGAACTCTGTTCTCTACTGCTTCTAGATGAAAAATGATGATATATTTAACATGCTGTCAGTCACATCTTAGCTTCAATTACTTACAATAGCCCAAATTTCATTAGTCCCAAATTTACCTGAAAGTCACTTTCACATTCGTGAACTGTGTACGTGTTATGTATTATCTTACTTTCCCTCTCCTGTTTTATTGTCTCTTAGCATTCCACTTCCCTACCGTTGAAACAACCCTTTGGTCTTTTCTAACATTGTCCAACTTCTTAGGCTTACTTATGTTTCTCCTTTTTTTTTTGAAATTCTATTTTTTTGTGGCCTATACTTAAAATTCTCGAAATTCTGCTTCCTTCCCTTAGATTCAGCTCTTAACTGCTTCTTCTCTCTTGTGCTGTCAATATAGCAGGTGGCTAACAGAACATTATGTGCATATGGACATGTAGTATTAATACTTTCTGTTTATAGCTTTTCAATGGTAATCTGAAGCCATTAGGGCCTATATAAAGTTCAAGTAAAGTATCAAAACTCTGCAACTGAAAGGAAATAAATACAAAGCTCACAAAGTCACCACAAAAGATCCAGGTACCTAAAGTGACTTGCCACTTAAAAAATTTTATCTTGCTGGGTTTGGTGGTTTGTGCCGATAGTCCCAGCTACTGAGGAGGCTGAGGCAGGAGGACTGCTTGAGCCCTGGAGTAAAGGCCAGTCTGGGTAACATAGTGAGACCCTGTCTCAACCAACCAACCAACCAACCAACCAACCAACCAACCAACCAACCAACCAAACAAACAAACAAACAAACAAACAAACAAATAAATATCTCAAGTACCTTTCACTCTCAGCTGTCTGCATGGTCTCCAGTTTTGAGTGGGTTCCTCTGTTAAATCCTTTTACCTCTTGTTCTTCCAAAGATTCCAGTAGTCGGATGACATCTTTATTCACACCCCTGCGTTTTGCTAGAACTAAGGGGGTAGCACCTTGATGATTGCTAAAAATGTTCAAAAAATAAAGAGGCCATCATAGCAGTTATACTACATTGTTAGTTACAGTGTTAGTACCCATTTGTGTAGATCTTAGTGAAGAAAAGATGAGCCTGATTAACTCAAAACTAAAACCCAGAGCAGAGCCAAAGGTAGAGGCAGAAGTTAAAGTATGAATTAACCTATTTTCTTCCCTTCCAGGGAAAAGGCAAAAGAGAATACATAGGCAAAAGAGTGGATAAAGGACAATAAAACAGAGAGAGACCATTTCCTCAGAGATTAATTGGAAAGTCTAATTCTAGACTCACTCTTATCTGACATCTATATTTTATGGAAAGAGTATATATAGAAAAAGTCTAAGAATTTTTTAAAAAACAAGTCAAACACAAATCACCTTAAATCCTGCAGTTAATTCACATCATATTAATAGAACCATTTACTATCTTATTTAGATTTACAGGCATTATGGTACCAATAAATTAGGGCAATATATAACTGTAATTTAAAGGTCAAGCTCATTGGTCTTAACATCTTTCCCACTTAAGAAGCAGGGTATCCCTAAAACAAACAAACACAAAACCCTAGTTCAGTCTAAAAAGGACTCTGGACCCCGGAGAGATTATGAAACTAGCACGAAACATAACAGAAGGCACATGAGCTTTGGAGTCAGTGGAACTAGGTTCAAATTTCAAATCTGTCCCTTATAAACTCTGTGATCTTTGTCAAATCATTTAATCCTTTTTGTCTCAACTATCTCATCTGTAAAATGAAGATAATACCTACCATGAGAGTTACTCACTGTGAGGATTAAATGAGCTAACATAAGTAAACACAGTCTAGCTCACAGATTTTCAAAAACAGTTACTTTTTTCTTCTTTTCCCGTCTTATACTATATAATTAATTAGTACCAAAAACAGGCCACTATTTTCACAGATAAAATTACACTGCTTTAGCATAAATCTAGAAGTCATTCCCTTGTTCCCTCACTCACCTAACAAGATAACAATGTCCTAAATGCCTTTCTGAACTTATTACAATTGATCAATGAGGAAACAAAATCAGAGACTCGGAGATTAGACTATAGGTTGAGAGACTATTGTGAAGAAATGACTAGACTTCAAAAACCACAGAGAACTTACCAAATATCAATTTTGAGTCCATTGGAAACTAAAAATTGAATAGTATCCACATGGCCACAAAGGTGAAGAGCTGTGTTTCCTTGATAATCTGTGGCCAGAAGATCAGCACCAAATTTATGCAATAACTGGCAGATGTCTACATTCCCGCGGGCTGCTGCCAGGTGAAGGCCTGTTCTGCCCCTGCTGTCACGAATATTTGGGTCAAAGCCACTTTCCAGAAGCCACTTGGAATAGTTAAAGTCTCCATCAATACAGGCTTGGAGCAAGGGCACGTTAGTCTGAGAAGAATCGTTTACAAAAACGTAGGACATTGTTCTGATATGATGGATAGAACACGCCTGTAATGAAACATGAGGTACGATTTGATAAAGCCAAATGAAATCAACATAATAAAGTCATTTAGAAAAGCACTATTTCTTATCCTTCTTGGCCTCCTGCCTCTAATAAATTACCTTACCAGACAGAAACAAGTTATCAATTATACTTTATTTTCCATTAACATGTTTTATTTTATTTTCTTCATATCTGTTGAATCAAAATTACAATTAAATTACTATAAAGGTCTATTTTGCTTTTTACCATATAAAAAGATTAAGAGATATTTTTAAAGCTAAGACATACTTGCTTAGATTTAAGTTTATTGCATTGCCAGAAGACATAGATAATGTAATCTTCAAACTTAAAAGAACTACATATATATATATATATATATATATATACTTAAATGACACTGCTGATAGACATTCTTATTTAATACAAAGGAATTCTCTTTCATATATTTGCTTCTTCTTGTATTTGAGATACTCTATATGGTAAACAAAACTACCTGCATGGAAGTAACACACTCAATAAAGACCTGCTAGAACTTTATAGTACAAATTTCAAGTTTTCATAGAAAGAAAAAGGCTAAGGAAAGTAACAAACTGAATTAAAAAATTGGAAATATCATAAAATCAATTCAGATTATGCTTTTTTTTTTGCAGTATTAATCCTATTCTGCTCTGTTCTGTGGTTTTCTCAATACCTGATTTTGCAAAACTCTCATTGTCTAAAGACTTGAGAAGTGAAGGGGAAAAAGTAGGTATCTGGGAATACAGGGGCAAGACAAAAGCAACACCTCCATGTGGGTCCAATGAGTCTCATCCCTCTGACTAACACAGCTCACTAGACTGTCCGCACCTCTGACTGATGCTTCCCTGCCCAAGTGGCACGCCTGAACTCTCAGAACATTCTGCTTTACCAAAGTGCAAACAACTCTCTCTCTCTCTCTCTCTCTCCTCCTTGGTTCATTTAAGAAAAAGTTAAAGCCTGTCAAAAGAAATTTTACTAAGAAATTGAAGAGAAAACAGAAAGGCATAGACTGATGCATTTAGAGATGGCTCTCTTACTCTAAAGTTACCAAAGCTTAGTCACAGATGGGCTTGGCTTGCATAGCTGATCAGGTGAATTCTTTCTTTGTGGAACACTGATGGAATTGGATGCTAGACCAATCTATTCTTGTGCCTAACCTCAAGGGGATTCAGGAAAGCATGGCTGCTGAGTTTGGTGAGATTCCTGGCCCCTGGTTTCCTAGCAAAGCCACCATCTCCTAGTCCTGGGCTGCCTTACACTAGGGCTCTGCTGCTCCCGGGCTCTCTGTGGAAAAGGAGGGTGGTATTAGCATATACTGGGCCTATTTTGAGCCAGGCATCAACAAGAGGCTTTTAATGAATTATATTTAATCTTCCTAACAACTCCATGGTAAGGTTTATATATTATATTATATAAATATATATAATATAAATGTTATAATATATATAAAATATATATATTATACCTGAATTTCAGTGAGGAGTCATTGAAGGATTTTAAGCTTAGGAAATGGCACAGTCTTACTAGTCTTTGAGAAAGATTACCTGGATGGCAATATGGAGGGGCTGGATTGGAGAGGAAAAGAGTGGAGGCAGGGACTATCAATCAGTAAGCAATGTAGTAATTTAGGCAAGAAATGATGATGGCCATCTAAGGCAGTGGTAGATAGAAGGGGACATACTGGAGAAGAATAGAGAAGAGAGATTAGCACAACTTAATGACTCATTGGATATGAAGGGTTAGAAGGAGCTATTAAGGTTAATTCCAATTAAGACAAAAATCTACTTGTGATTAAGAATCACAGAGATCGAGATAAAATAAACTTCATATTATAATACTAAATAATGATTTTTAAAAATTAACTTAATGAGAAGAAATTACTCGGCCAGGCGCGGTGGCTCACGCCTATAATCCTAGCACTCTGGGAGGCCAAGGAGGGCAGATTGCTCAAGGTCAGGAGTTTGAAACCAGCCTGAGCAAGATCGAGACCCCGTCTCTACTATAAATAGAAAGAAATTAATTGGCCAACTAATATATATAGAAAAAATTAGCCAGGCATGGTGGCACATGCCTGTAGTCCCAGCTACTCGGAAGGCTGAGGCAGGAGGATTGCTTGAGCCCAGGAGTTTGAGGTTGCTGTGAGCTAGGCTGACGCCACGGCACTCTAGCCTGGGCAACAAAGTGAGACTCTGTCTCAAAAAAAAAGAAAAAGAAAGAAAGAAATTACTCAATAAAATAGTCAAGAATTCTTTTTTGAAGGTAATCTATTTTTCCTCATAGTATTTACTGGAGTGGATCATGAAGAAGATAAAGCTACCATAAACCTTCTTAAAACTAATACCATATATATCAAGGGATTTTCAAGAGGTAATGTGTTTTGATTAAATTCTGTAAAACTAGATAATAAAAAACAATCTACATAGTATTTTTGATTCAAACACAGTAAGAATTCTTGTGGTTTGCAGACAGATTCTTCTGAATGTTGGCTCAGTAAAAAATACATGCCATTCCTGTCTATTTTTTAGGTAAGAATAAGTGTAGTGTATTTTATCAGGTTCTCTGAGTCCTTGAGAAACTGCTAAACTTACCCCCAACATTTAATAAAGTCCAACCACAGACAACATTTTTCATCTTGATCACTGAACTGAATCTGCCCTAAATCAAGGCTACAGTTCACTGGAGGTTTCACATATTGTGAGGAAGTCCACAGTAGAGAATACTCACGCAAGCTTTAATATGAGATCCTTCTTTCAGTGGTCAATCAGCAGTGTCTCTGAATTCTTAACGGAGGTTCACCAAAAATGCTGTAATGTGCCAGCAAGGATCTACAGTAAATAGAAAATTCGTTATAACAAAGTTGTGGCATGAAAAGAACTTGCTGTTTTATTAGATACTGATAGGCTAGTGGGGCCTGCAGATATTAACCTGAAAATCTGTGGGTGAAGCATCAACATGCGAGGCCAGGAAAGTACCTGACGGGTAATAAGGTAGTGGAAAGGAAGAAAAGAAGGGATTAATAAGGAGCTGCTCTGTTGCTCACCAACAAGAAAGCATGGACAGAAAGATAAAAGAAAAAGCATCAAATTTTGTGCTCTCAGTATAGAACAAACTGGGCTCTGAAAATCCACTCTCAGTCATTATTTGGAATTCAGAATGCATACTTTTCATATTATAAATGGAGGCTATCTCCCAGATTAGTCTACAAAAGCATTGTTAGATATAAAATACTATTCATAATAAGGGAAAAGGTAAAAACAGCCAATACTTATTATATTTAAAACAAACGGGATACATTTGCAAAAAAATATTTCTAATCTATCTTGAATGCTGATATTTAAATCTCTTTAAGTCTGTTCCTGAGACTGTTCTTTCCCTAAGTGTGAAGGAAAATCTGGCCCAAAGCTACCGGCAGTGTTCTCCGACAGCCTGCCCCCACCCGTGCTGCACCACGGTGCTGCCCTGCTCTCACACTTCTGCCACTGTTGGGCCCACTCAGGCCGCACCTGTTTACTGAGAGACTATGCAACCACCCTGTCTGCCCACTCAACTCTTCTCTGGAGGGACTGTGGACCACAAAAAAGCAGTATTAATTCATTAAATAAGCATTTACTGTGCGCCTGAAATGTGCCATATACCATGCTAAGTGGTGGAATATAAAATCCAAATGCCAAATTCACGGTCAGGTTGAAACTCAGGTTAATTTTTAACTTGCCATTCATACTGACTGCTACCAGATCCCTTAAAGTAAATTTAAGGGATCTTTAATAGGGAAATAATTAAAGGTATTTTATGAAGCTCCATTTAAGATATGTAAGTCAGGCTGTATCATAAGGGCTATCAGCGCTAGGCTGGACCTGATGACAGTGGCTGGCAAGCTGCATGTGAGGATCAGTCCCACTAAAGTGCCAGTAAAGATGATGAAGCCATGATAATACACAAACCAACTGCCCTCCCCAATTGTTTCCTAGTTTTCTGTGATCCCATAATATTAATTTAGACAAACTTCATATCATCGAGGCACTTAATTTGATTTCCTTAAACAAATATCCTGAATTCACCCAAAGACTACTTTTCCTCTCTTATTCTGACCACTGAAGCAGAGTCTTTACGATTAAAGCCTTTCTAATATAGGATTTGGCTTTGATTTTCAATGTTAATTAAAATGGTACAAGTGAGTTCTTCTGAAGGTATAGAGCTCACATTATGAAAAGAACAACTCTTGCTTTTCATCTGGAGATAGAATTATAGACCATGTAGTTACATCCCCCCATAATCCTAATGTTCTCTTAAATCTACTAGAAAGACAATGCTTGTGCCATTTTTTTAATATGACTAGGCCCCATAAGAAAACACACTTGATCAAATTACAGATTTATGTGTAATTCATATTTAATATTATATAAATGGTTAGACTAAATTACTAAAAACCTGCCAAGAAAATTTCCAAGACTGCAATTAGACTTTTTTTTTTTTTTTTTGAGACAGAGTCTCACTTTATTGCCCAGGCTAGAGTGAGTGCCGTGGCATCAGTCTAGCTCACAGCAACCTCAAACTCCTGGCTCAAGCAATCCTCCTGCCTCAGCCTCCCAAGTAGCTGGGACTACAGGCATTCGCCACCATGCCCGGCTAATTTTTTGTAGATATATATTAGTTGGCCAATTAATTTCTTTCTATTTATAATAGAGACGGGGTCTCACTCTTGCTCAGGCTGGTTTCGAACTCCTGACCTCGAGCAATCCGCCCGCCTCGGCCTCCCAGAGAGCTAGGATTACAGGCGTGAGCCACCACGCCCGGCCTTGCAATTAGACTTTAATCACTAGAAATCTATTAATAGCTTCCCCAAGAAATCATAAAGTGATAAAAACCAGAACACATTAACTGTTGTTCAAGGGGTGAAGAGGACTAAAGATTCTTAAATTAAACTTTTTACTTAAAGATAAGATTTTTACTTATAGATTCACACGCAGTTGTAAGAAATAAGAGAGAGACCCTGTGTACCCTTAACACAGTTTTCCCCAATGGTATGCTCTTGCAAAACTATACTATTAGGTCATTAAATAAGAAATGTCTGATTTCGAATCAAAAATGTAGTTTATTATATCTCAAACAACAAGCAGTACAAATAATCAAAGTATGTGCCTAAACTATTGACACAGTTTTGCCATCTTAGGTCGCCCACGTGGCTCATTTTCAAGATTAAAATCACTAGAATGGAACTTCTCAAACCATTGACGTATTGTGCGTTCAGTAGCCACATCCTTACCAAACACTTTGTTGGTATTTTGAGCTATCTGCACTGCATTGGTTCCATGATGGAACTTCATATTCAAAAATAACATGAATTTTTGACTTATCCATGGTTTCACAATTGCTCTAAAGAAAATTTGAAAGATAATCATAAGCCAAAATTTTTCCTTGTTTGAAAAACCGAGGATGTACCTTCACAATAAAAATAAAACAAGAAGTGTCAAAGTGAAATGTCAGAGATATCAACTGTAAAACTTAGTACTTAAGGAAATCAGACATTTCATACTTATTAATAACCTAATACAATATCACAACCAGGATATTGACATTGATATAGTCAAGATACAGAACATTCCCATCACCACAAAGAATCTCTCACATGTTGCTCTTTTAAAGCTATACCTACTTTACTCCCATTCCGACCCCTGGAAACCACTACTCTGTCTTCAAGTTCTATAATTCTGTCATTCAATAATGTTGTTAAAGAAGGAACCATACAGTACCATATATGGAACTTTTGAGACTCTCTTTTTCACTTTGCATAAATCTCTAGAGATTCATACAAGATGTATGTATATCAACAGTTTGTTCCTTTTTATTCCTAAGTAGTATTCTATGGTGTGGATGTACCAGAGTTTGTGTTTTGTTTTGTTTTGTTTCTGAGACAGAGTCTCACTCTGTTGTCTGGGCTAGAATGCGTGACCTCAGCCTAGCTCACCGCAACCTCAAACTCCTGGGTTCAAGCGATCCTCCTGCCTCAGCCTCCTGAGTACTTGGGACTACATGCATGTACCACCATACTCGGCAGAGTTTGTTTAACAGTTCACCTACTGAAGGACATCTCGTTGCCTCCAGTTTTCCGCTATTATGTTAAAGCTTCTACAAATATTTGTGAACAGGTTTTTATGTGAATGTAAATCTTCATTTCTCTGGGGTAAATGGTCAAGAGTGCACATACTGGGTCGTATGAAGGCCTAAAGATTTTGACTGAAAGACTGTTGAGTGTGAATGTGCCTATCTTACCCATGCAAAAAAGACATAGGTCATTTTTCCAGTCATTTGTCTGGTGTCAGGTTATTTATGGAAAATACTGTACAACCAAGCATGTGGAAGGGCACAGGTGGATGCCCTGGTGTTAACCAAAAGGAAGTGTTTAATAAGAACCATTCTAGGCCGGGCGAGGTGGCTCACGCCTGTAATCCTAGCACTTTGGGAGGCCGAGGCGGGCGGATTGCTCAAGGTCAGGAGTTCGAAACCAGCCTGAGCGAGACCCCGACTCTACCAAAAATAGAAAGAAATTAATTGACCAACTAAAATATATATATATATATACACAAAAAATTAGCCGGGCATGGTGGCGCATGCCTGTAGTTCCAGCTACTCGGGAGGCTGAGGCAGTAGGATAGCTGAGCCCAGGAGATTGAGGTTGCTGTGAGCCAGGCTGACGCCACGGTACTCACTCTAGCCTGGGCAACAAAGTGAGATTCTGCCTCAAAAAAAACAAAACAAAACAAAACAAGAACCATTCTACAAGCAGAGTTAGAGGCACTACTAGTAAGAGTGTAAACAGTGAACTGGTATCTTTCAAGATTCACTGAGGGCTGAGTGAATTCCTCTAGGGCTGAGTGTGTTCCTCTATGAACGAATGTGAAAGCTAAGTGTAATGAAGGTTGATTTTAAAGATGGAGAAAGCAGGAAAGGGAGAGATGTGGCAGCCTGATTCTCCTGAAAGGGGCAACTCTAGGAATGTACCATAGAGAGGCCATTTTTCCTCTTGTCAGATGCTGTTAAGAGGGCTTGGCTACTCCACCCAATGTGTCTGGGGCTGGACTGCCTGGCTTCGAACCCCAGCTCAGCTACTTACTAGCTGTATGACTTAGCACTCAAAAAATAAGAGTTATTATCCTTTGCAGGCTTGGTGCAGTTCTGGAGAGACTGTCCTCTCCTATATTGAAGAAAGCTTGAGTAGAACATTGATCCCCTGCTAGCAGAGCCACTTCTGGCAATGGGCTGACATCTACTGGAGAGTAAAAACCTCCAAGAAAGAAAAAAAGAACTGGTTCCTGGCAGAGGAAAAAGCCATATGGCTCAGTACAAGAACAGTCAACATGGAAATCCCTAAGCCCCAGAAAACATGCTGGTTGTTAACCAGGGCCATGGTTCATAAAGGACAGTGTCCTTAAGGGACAGTGTCCATTGACTGGTTCAGAGGCAGACTAGCTGGGGCTGTGAAAAGCAGAACTCCAGGGGCAGTCTAACATTTGAAACTCTTTGTGCTCTGTGGCACTGCCCAAGAGACTTCATAAGGATGGAGTCATTCATCTTTTGGGATGAGGCAGTCACCTAAATCTCAACAAGAGCTCCTAATAGCAAACAGTGCTTGTCTCAACCCAAATAACAAAATAATAAGGAGGTTTTTGTGGAAGCTTATGATCCACTGACTCGATGGAAAGTTTTAATATTCTTTTTTCTTTTGTATCTCAAACTCTGGATCCACAATCTTATGTCAATCTACAAACTTTAAGATAGTATTCTTGATGGTTAAGAACTAATGAAGAGAACATGTTCTATTTTATTA